CCCCCCCCCCCCCCCCCCCGGGCAGAATGGTAAACTCGTGTCTACTCACCTCGTCGGCTCCATCGGCTGCCTCTCCTCGTGCGCCGGCTGCCTCTCCATCCAACCGCTTCTGCGTCCCCTTCTCTGCCCGGTGCTCGCGTGTCAACACAAAACAAACGCGTGTCGCGATGTCGCTCTGCCGAGAGGGTCATCGCCGGCGTAGGCGGAGCGGCGGGCCCTTCGTTACAGAGACAACAAAGACATTTCACCCCTCGGGCTGTTGTTGCAGACAGAAAAACAAATTTGGCGCGCGTGCGCGCAAGGTCTGCTAGTGTAGAAACAAAGACAAGGTTTTTCTCTGAAGGCTCTCTCGCAGCCGTGCCGTCGCGGTCCACACCAGACACCACCCCCTGGCCACTCCTCCAACCTCCTCCGCGTCGACATTCCCTCACCCTCTTCCACATCCCGCGTCCTCGCCTCCTCCTCCTCAGCGACGCGCATCGTGACGCTTCCGCCCGCCCTGCCGACCAAAGGTGCAGCTACGAGCATAGAGTCTTCGCCTCCTCCCTGCCGGCATGTCCGCGCCGCCGCTCACGCTCTACAAGCAGCTGATGCGAGAAGCCAAGCGGTTCCAAAACTACAACTTTAGAGAGTACGCCATCCGGTTCGCTGCATCCTTTGGTGCGCGCTGCACTCTCTCTCTCTCTCTCTCTCACCGCCCTTCCTCTGCGGCGATAGGCATGTGCGGGACGACTTCCGCCGGAATGCCGGCCTGCAGGGGGAGAGCGCGGCGCGAGAGCTCGAGCATGGGCGGCTCGAGCTCGAGAAGCTCCGCCGAATGGCTACCGTCTCCTCTCTCTTTCCGTCGGCGCGCCACCGCACCTCGCCGCAGGCTTAGAGCAAGGTGCTCGGCCTCACCCCGCCCGCCCTGCTCGCAGGGCAAGCACGCCATGGAGGACTGAGTCCGCCCGTACTCGTTTAACGACCCGCTGCGCCGCCGTCCCCTCGCTTGCCGATGCTAGCACGTTGTTTCGTGTCTCATGGCTGTCGCTCGTAACAACTGTTATGGACAACTGTTATGTCGTGGCGCGGGGGCTCGCGTGTGTGGGCGCGCGGTGTCGGCCGCGCCTGCGGCCTACAGGGCCTGGCGGCCGCGCGGGGCGGGTGTTGGGGGTAGCGCGGGGGCCGCGCGCGGCCCGGCGCGCTCGCCGGCGCCGGCGAGACCGAGCGAGAGCGAGACGCGAGACCGAGAGCGGGGACGTGTCCGCCGACCACCCCGCGGTGTGCCGGTGCCCCGCTGGTGTGGCGGCGCGGCCCCGCCGCGCACGGCCGCCGCGGCGCGCGGCGGTGCGGGCGGCGCGCGCGAGCCGCGCGAGCGCGGCGAGGCCCCGAGAGGGGCGAGGGCGGCGAGGCGCGACCCAGTTGAGCAAACAGCGGTTTGCGTGCACGGCACGCGAGGTGACGCGCCCACCGCCCAGCCCCTCCGGCTCCCACCGCGGCCCTCGCCGCTCGCGCTGGCTTGATCCTTGAAGCCCATCCATGCGCCTTGCGCGGCATATCGCACAGTTTATAGATTACCGGGGGCCGCTGCGTGTGCTTAGGAGCACACGCACCCGCTCTCGCTCCGGCGCTCTGCGCGGAGCGAGGCGGACTGGCCCCCGTACCCCCTCCCAGACAACAAAGCGACAAGGTGTGCGGCGGGGCGCGGCTACTGGTGCGACGCGCGCGTGTAGACACACTGCGACTTGTGCGTCAGGATGGGCCGGATCAGCTTTTGGCTCAGCAGCTCCTTGACAGCCTTGCGGGCGAGGGAGCCATTGCACCTGGGGGGGGGGGGGGTCAGGAGGCAGGGTTCAGGGGGTCGGGGGTCGGGGGAAGGGGGTGGGGGCCTTGGGGGGTGGCAGCTAACCACGGAGGCGGCGTTGTGATACCAGTGACGGCGAGGGGGTGGGGCGGGTTGAGGCCTCCAGGGCACCAGCAGTAGGCGGCGAGGAAAGGAGCTCGGGCGGTTGTCCCGGCGGGGGCATTAAAGGGGGGGGGGG